AAGCAGCTTCAGACCATAAGCTTGCTCTCGGCTGATGTTGGAACATCAGCCGAGAGCAAGCTTATGGTCTGAAGCTGCTTCAAGATTTAATGTTTTGTTCGAGTTCAAGCAAAGGAAACCAACGTTTTGTAATGATGTTTCACAAATATCCAGACGTAGTTGTTTATGAGAAATTTCCTTACCCTACCAGAAATAATTTACAAAGTAAAGATGTGGGTGAACGGGCGGATGCACTGAGTGCAATGAAGATTTTATCACAGTCAAGTCAAGAAATGCAGTTTTTAGATCCAATTTTGTAATCGATTAGCTTGATGGTCGATTATGAAGTCCTCGATTCGGCTTTCATACTGTCTTTAATCTGAAATCATGTCTTAAAGCCTTTTTTGCACCTCTGCTAAGTGGTATTGCTGGATCTAACGTGTTAAAGCAGTTCATTCGGTGCCTGTAATCGACGTCAGTTATGCGCGCGCAAAATCAATACCTACTACTCAGCACACGTATTGCGAGAACTACGAAGTGAAGCAGCTTCATCTGTCAAACTTACCATTTTGTCTTTGGCACATGTTTTTCTGCTTTCGTAAATTGAATATGCCACCAAGAAGTTTACCATACACACGAGACCGACCACTACTAGATAGAACATACGAGAAATAAAAGGGACTATGAAAATTTCACGGTCAATTGATAAGGTAAAGGGTAAACTGGCCATATACAACCAGTCTCCACTAGTCAATGTGCAATTAAAAGACTAGTTATAAATATAAAGCTGTTTACTTGTGTCTACTACAGAGTATTCACCGAGAACTACCTAATGTTAATGTTACCGGCCTCCTTTTTCAGAATACCGTGCACTCTATTTCGAAAATACAAAAACTCAATGAATAGTAAATAATGACTCGAACTTTGACCGTAATCCTACAGCTGTTTCACATCACTACAATATGTTCATTACCCACAAGGACGTTGGGCCGTGGGCAAAACTTCTATGTCTGGCGACACTCGAACTCGTACTTGTGTTCTCCAGATACCGTGCTTTTATCCCTGACACTACCGGAACCCCGCCCACGTAACTAACACCTCCTTTGCGGCGACTGGTTATGGCATGAAGGAGTTAGAGATTACCTTAAGAATCCGATACAGTAGTGAATTTTTGTTCTGATCTCATTTTACGCTCACGATGGTCGAAGGCTCGATCAACTAGGAGCTATGGGGGTATCCATCAGCACCCGTCCTTGAAAAAGCCTCGTGGTTATTTTTCCATATGAGCATTCCCATACCCGACCAGTTATGACCCTTTACCCAAATTTCGATTAGCTGGGCCTTCAGGGAACGTTTGCTATTTGGAAGAACACCGTTTAAACAGGCGGAGCATAGATGGTTCTGATGAAGTTTGTTGGAAAGCGTTATGCCTATTGGGTGACGTCAGACGTCCCAACAGCGATAAGCTTTACAGCACCTGAATTGCTCTGGAAATGCTGTCACTTCTACTGCTTCTGGGAGTGATTGGCCAGGTTGTGGGAGCTGCATGCCCATATGGGGGTATACAAGCTTATAACCCAAACCAGTGCTACATAATTTCGAAGTAAGTCGTATTTTATTTATTTTCTGAGCTAGTCATTTCTCCAAAGAACCATACTAAACATTGTCTTTCGTTTTACTAAGCTACTTTACCCTACCTCTGGCATTTGAGAAAGAATCACAGAATTGCCCACTGGTTGTTCTCATTCGGGTGTAGGCCAGGTAAGCATCCAATTCACGCTACGACTCTAGAAAGACGCAGTTTTCATGGGTGTTTCCCGAAATAGAAGTTGATCAGTGCAGAGACTTTACCCTTTGCCCTATATTTATGTAGAGGGAATGGATGATGCCAGATGATCAATGTGATAAGAGTAGTGATAAGCCGGGTGTGATGACGGCAGGTAAAAAATTAATGATGGCAAGGTAGATAAGGATAATCACTGGCTAGAGGTCACAGAAGAGCAAAAAGACATTAACTGGTAACTAATTGATCAATTTGTTCAATTATTGCGATACTGAGTACGAAATAGACTGAGATCATGAGTTGTTCACGGATCGTTCACATCCCAATTCTGAATCTCAAGCCTCAGAACCATCCGATTCCACACAACCTTTTCAAAAAGGAATTTGCTCACCTTTTGCCCGAGCTTTTTTCAGTGAAATTCTTCTGGCTTAAAATTATGGAGAAGGTCATTTAACCAGCCAAATCCCTTTTGAGGGTATTTCCGTTGCAGTATCGAAACCACCTGGACATCGGCAGAAAGCATATGCGGCTACCTGGGAGGCCATCTGATTTCGATACAATCGGATTCGGAAAATGACTATGTGGCTCGAGTCCTTCAGGGTTGGTCGTGATCAGTTCATTTACGATAAAAATTAAAAATCAAGTTAGACTAAATTGAATTTAGACGAAAATGCTAGAATTTCCAGCGAATTCCTACACATCATTCAGCGATATCTACATTGGTGCGTATGTAAGTGGTGGAACGTGGAAATGGAGTGACTACACAGTCGAATTTGCTTACGCGAATTTCAAAGGTTTTTTCAACCAATTCCTGTTGGCTTCGTCATAAACTGCTCTTCTTGTTTGTTGGATGGGGTGACGTAGTGGCATATGGGTTCCTATCACACACGCGTGAGCCAGGGTTCGAATCCCGGATCGATATCTGCCCAGGTCGACCGACTTTGAATTCTTCTAAAAGCCCTGAATTGTATATCAGCTGACTACTGCAAGTCATGGTACCGGCCGTGGGCATTTGAGAACACCCTTACGGCTAGATGACAGTCGAATGCAGAGCGCATCCCAAAAATTGGAATGACTAACGATCAAGTCTGCGGCCTTCTACTTCACCCCTGTTCAGTAGTTTCTCCAATCCAGAACCTTTTTGCTTCATAACAGTTATTTTACATGAAGGGTTCAAAAAAGCGTCAACTGATTGCTCAAACTAATCCCAAAAATCCTATAACCTCCTGACTCCTACTTTATGATCTCCGCGTGCTTCACCAACCCCGTGGGTGGTTTCAGCATTTTTTTTATTACGAACTCGAAAAACTCGTGCAAGTAAAGTGGGAATAAGCATTGATGAGCTTTTTTTAGATTTCTTACTGGCTCACATACTACGGAGCCGAGCCACAGAGAACAGAAGTAGGAGTTGAATGGCTATGGAGACGTTCGAAAAAAAAAAGAAAAAGGCAGATTGACTAAAAAAGGGGAAAAGAAATCGAAAGTAACAGATACGAAAAGGATTCATTCAAAATCTTATGTTTCAGGTGCAGTAACTGTCGACACGGATGATATCGGTTCAATGATTCTCAGTAGAGCAAATTTTGGTCAATGGAATATCCTGTCATCCAGTTACCTTCCTAAACCACATCCATTCGCTTGCCAGGTATGTCGCTTTACTGCCATTTGGAGAACATTGGGACAGGTGCCTGCAGAACTGGGAAAAGTAAGAAGTGTAAGAATGAAAGGAGCGAGAAAAGAGTGAAAAGAAGGGAGAAAATGGTAGAACAAGCTGAAGTTGGAAGGGTAAATGGCGTACTGTTTCAGGTTCCCGATTGTTACTTCAATGCGGAAAGTCGTCGTGAAAGCTTGAAAAAGTTATTGGAGACGGCATATTACGACAGCACAACTTCATAGTGAGTCGAACGAGTATTTACTTCATTCAAAAATTGTTGTTCAACTATTAACCCCAATAATATCAGAAGGTCAAACAGTTGAAGCTCAAGACCCTGACATTTTTTTAATGCTTCAAGGAAAGCCGAAAAGGCCATTATCAGCAAGTTAGGTTGGTTTTTAGAACGTAATCGGGGTTTGCTTGCAGAACGAGTACCTCATGCTGTGAACCCTCCCAATGGATACCATTCAACGGAAATAAGAATTAGTGTGGAATAAAGCTTCCAGATCTGATGGAAGAAAAGGGGCGTGGTCAGAATCCTTCCGCAACAAATGCGTTTGAGCTAACCAAAATGATGTTCTGAAAAAAAAATATTTGAGACAATTTTCAACGAAACTGTAAATAAGGAAAACCCTTTTTAGCTACTACTTTGGCACCCCTGCACAGATGATGGTTTTCTCCGACGCAGAGCATGAATGTATGAAGATAGGCGGCCACTTGCCATCCATTTCAAACGCCTACGACAACGCAGCGGTCCAGACTGCTGCTTACAGTTGGTCCATTTCCTTCTTTACCATCCTTTCGGAGGTTTTGCAGTGTATTTTGATGAAAAATCCTCGTTTGACCATGGAATTTCATATATTACTTACCTAATTACCCAGCATGAGAATGCACGAAACAAATCGGGGCCAGAAATCGCGGAAATCCTGGGGTATTCGTTTCTGAGTTCAAATGAATGGTCCCGTCAGCGACTTTTACACCTCTGGTCTAGAGATCCTTCAAGGACCGAGCACAGGCGGTAAGGTGATACTCGGTTATTCCAACCTGATGATGAACGGATTTACATGGAGTGACGGAAATCCTTCCAGATACACTAATTGGGCACCTGGAGGTGAGTTTTTAATTTTTTCACAACTGTTCATTTCTATACTAATATTTAACAGAGACCATGCTTTTTTACCACTTACTGAATTCTTGAGAACCGGTAACCGTTGTGCCGGGTGTGGCTTGGATGGACATCCTGACAGGACAATGGAATACGGCTGCACCGACAGCAAAGTCGAACTTTCTATGTGCTCTTCCAGCTAATCGTGCACCCTGCTCTTGATGAATTCGTCTAATGTAGAGTGTAAAATAACTACAAATGAACTTTGCTCTACTCTTGTCTATTACGGTATTTCAGAAAAAAAACCCAAAAAAAANNAAAAAAAAACCGGCGATGAAGTTCTTGTCCAAGGTCTGTTCCATCCTTCGTATATAAAAAGCATTCTTGTCATTGATTTGCCATTGGACCGCCTCAGGATGAGCCATGTGCATGCCTTTCAGTCAGAATCGTACCGATTTCTGGATGCATTTCCTATGTTGTTGATATGACATCATTGAAAACATCTTGTAACAAATGAATATTTATGCTGTATTACGGTCGTTATCGGTGAAAAGACCACCTTCGTGAGCTGCTACGGCACCCTATCCCAGAGCAGGACAGCCTCTCGTCCCATAGCTATCTCGGGGTTGCCATCGACATGAGAACAACTCGTCGATGGGTCAATTTCATTTCATCCGAACACTTCAAAGGCTCTCTAGAGCGAACCCCGAGAATTAGGAAAAGATTGACTGCTTGCAGCTGCTGCACCACCTCCGCCTCCCTGATGACGTCGTGCTAAGAACAACGAATATCTTCATGCAGAGCTTTGAGGTTTACTCATTTTGAATGCGTTTGCAGGAAGTCGTTTTGCAGGAGCTGAATGACGTGGGGTCCATGAAAAAAACTGATTTGTTCCTGTGTGTGTGACTCCCTACGAAGCAATTCTGATTGCTCCACCTTCATGTAAGAAATCAAAGAGATAGGTTGGGAAATCAGAATGATGAATTATATAGCCCAGAAGCTGAGTAGGTGAGAGTAAGTTGGATGGGTGACATTTCAGTGTTGTGCAAAAGTCGAAGAACATCGAACTCTGTTACTTTTTTTCGACTGCAATGCTCTTCCTGCTTCAACGTCTCGCTCAAGGAGGTTCCACATAAGGCTGGACCGATAAGATGAGTTATAAGGAATGCGATTCTGGAAAGTTCCCAGTTTGCATGGAGAATCGGAGTATTCGAGGGTCAGGTCTGCGTTGCGGTACGTTCATAACTAGAGCAGTTCAGTTCAGGTTCAGAAGTTAGTATGAGAGGGAGAGGGGAGCTTGGCTGGGAGGGGAGCTTAGCTGGGAAAGAATAGAATTACTGTGCCTGAGAAAATTCAATGTATTTAATTATTTTTTAAATCTTGGCTGATTCTGGCTTGACTAAAGCCGGAGCTACAAACTCCTTCATTGATCAAGGATCATGGAACTGCCGTTCCTGACAAGTTGCGAAACCTAAGGGGGGCTCGTCATGGGATTTTGTAATGATCGTTGGGACAGAGCTTCTCTCCCTCGGGAGCCTTCCGATTCAACCTCTTGAAACGGTTCACCAGTTCAACCAATTGTTGTTTATCCGCTCACCGTTTGTTTACGTGCATTTGTTTACTTTTTTCACTCCATCATTTGCTTGTAACGCTTATTTACTTACCGTTTTACTTACTTGTATTTGTTTCTGTCGTTGAATGTAGGGAGCCTATTCGGAATCAGTTTTACTTTGCATATAGACGTAGCGGCGACACTGGGCCACCCAAACGATTCACAGACTAGCTGGTCTTTCAACCATTGCAGTTACCAGAGAAAGGATTAATGTTGACCGCACCATTACATAGGGTGACTTGATTAATGAGCCGCTCATTCATTCAGTTCGACCAGCTCATTTCCATCCGCTCCCATTTGTCATTCTCCACGAAAACATTTATCTGTAGTTTCCACGAAAATTGTTCCGAGTTTCAATTTTTATTTAGAAATTATTTAATGAAGTTGAAAGTTAGACTTCACACCATAGCAATGAGGACTTACGGTATTTCGCATTGAAAGGTATTATTTAGAGAAGTTTATTTATCCTGACATCCTTCGATTTCCACGTACCTCACGAAAGTACTTATTATCTAGCTTACCTGATCAAATAGAACTTTATGACCGGTACTATCCCAAACTCTGCCGTGACGGCATCGTTGACGCTGCCTTCCCTCAGCTTTCAATGCCATTCCCTGCTCTCAGGCACCTTCCTAATGAAAGATTCAGGACGATCCTTCTTTTTGAAAGTGGCGCCGTGTAGGTGTCCTGATGGGAAGGGCACGTCCTTTGGATAGTCCTTGCTTCCCTCGAGTTCTTTCACTTGCAGCCTTTCGAGATTGCTTTCTCTAACAAATAATGTGACTGGCGATAGCAGACCTCGTAATCCGCTTGCAGTATGGCTGCCCTCCTATCAAAATTTCTTGCAAATGTAAATGTAAATATGATTGTTTATTTTGAGCCAAATGGAAATGCTTCTTCTTTGGGTAGGGCAGGGGAGAATCTGGCTAAAGTTTACCTAGAAGACTGCTAAATAACAGAGGGACTTTGCAATTTTTTTAGGTATCGAGAAGTTATGAAGTTCTCTGGAACCTAATCAAACAGCTGGGACAATGGACTGGGCAAAAGGGCAGATTAATGGCGTCATCATATAAATAATTTAATGCCAGTCCGGACACCTCGGTATAAAGGAAAAGGAAGAGAATGAAAATGAAATTCGGGAAAGCTGGAAGAAAAGGGAGAGAAATGGTGGGGAAAGTGAGCTCGCTTTCGTTGAGCTCCCAGTTTTTCATTGAAGGGGTGAAAAAGTGCGAAGAGGTGCTCATTCGAGGCGTCTGCTTTTGGGATTAAATATGGGATCGATACCTTCCGGGCCACCTGGACTTTTTATTTTTCCAGGATCGATTACTGCCACTAGACTCCCCCAAGGTGGCATAAAGTATGGGTTTGTACGTCATCTGCCATCTCCACTAGTTTTAGGTGACATAATCATTCAAACGTCTCTGTGATTATGTATAGAAATCGGTTGCGTGGCTCATACGTCCGATGATGTAAAACAGTCTTTATTCCAAGAATTTCATCCCTATTTCCCTTGATCACTAGGAACTTATGGGAGAAACTTGAACCATACTACTGGTAATGAGATTAGAACTCACAAACGGCGTTGGATTAAGCTTGAGAGAATTGGACCCTCACAGTTGAAAAACCAATGGATTCATATAGCTCTCCCACAGCAAAAACTCTATTAAATGAAAAATTATGTGTTAGAAAAACCATCACGATAATGAGGTTTTTCAGCTTGAGCCAGATAACCGGCCTTTCCTGAGAATTCTTGAGCCACTGTGGGAGCTGCAAAATGTTCATGGTGAATGGACATTGTATCCATATGGAAGGGTACCAACCGATAGCTTGAAGCTCGAAAATGGGTAAAAACTGATCATTTTCTCCGAATTTGATCGAATCCTCCATAGAATTACTCACTCTATAAGTCGACCTGGGCAAGATTAGACTCTAGCTGAATTTGGGAGCTGCAAGCTGGGGATCACATCATTACTCTCCCTGCCTCATGCCCGTGCTACCTTGGGTGAGTGCCAGTGCTCTACGGAGATATTCAGGCACTAACGATTAATCTTTTGATAATGATGGCAATTATTCAGCAAATTTTGAAGAATGAGCAATAACAGGGGTGAAGGCTGAGAGCAAGGAACCTAGGTGATAGATGGCTCAGGGGTTCAAAGAGATCGACGAGATATTCGTTCAGCATAAAGAGCAGATATTCATTGGATCTGTTCGTTTATCCCCTGATGACGTGTTTTCCGGGTAACATCCCAGGTGATAAGGGTGGATATCAAGCTGATTACATGAAAGGATGCTTTGTTATTCTGTGAGAAGAAAAAAAGGGACGTGCGCACTCGGGAAAAGTACTCAAATTGTTCCCTATTCACTGCCGGGCTACTTTTTAAAAGGGCGCTCAGGAAATCCCCCAAGGGTATATCATAGCTAGTAAAATGTCGGCATTAGAGCTGTTTTCATGATTTTCAATAGATTCTCCTAATCAAAGGGCTGAGCGTTTGCAGAGAGCTTCCGAGAAATCCCGGCACCCACGCCCTCACTGATTCGTGTACCCAGCCAAGCGTACTTGCTGTAGTCGAATCAACCCCCCCCCCCCCATATGCAGTGTGTGCAGGTTTTCGGGAGTCTATACGAGGCGTTTCTCTCCGTTTCATTACCCTCATCATCTGAAGCACCTTTTGTCGTGTGGGTGCTCTCAAGCGCAGATTGCTTTGCTGAGCACTTTTCGTTCATATCTATCGCCATCGACAACGACGAGGACTTTTATCGCCGTCTACTTCTCAGAAGCGCCGAACGATGCATGTGCAAGTGCTGGCCGATTGAGCCGAGAGAGCACCTCGATTGCCGTCCGTTGCCGTACTTGGTCTGCATCTCGACAGCTCGGGCTCTTGCCCATTCCCTCGTATCGACCCTGCCATCTACGTCGTCCAACCCTCCTCCCTCTTCGTATCGATCTCCAGTCTCTATTATGGTCGTTACGCTTTGTTGTTATTTACCAAAAACATGCTCCAATGCTAAATACCCCTAAGAATCTGCCAAAGCTATATCCATCATTCCTAATCGTTTTTCCTAGAAAAAGTGAACCGAGTGAAAGAAAAACTTTATAAGAAAGGCTTCCTTAATCAAACAATTATATGTATATACTATTAGCCTTCAAAGGTATAA